GAGGTGGGTGTTGGTCTCTCCTTCCAAGTTACAAGCAACAGGTCAAGAGGAAATGGCCTCAAGTTGCGCCAGGGGAGGTTTAGATTGGATATTAGGAAAAATTTCTTCACCAAAAGGGTTGTCAAGCATTAGAACAGGCTGCCCAAGGAAATAGTTACCAACCCTGGAGGAATTGGAAGTTTTTGAGTCACCATCCAGGAGGTATTTAAAAGACATGTAGATGTGGTGCCTAGGGACATGGTTTAGTGGTGGACTTGGCAGTGCTAGGTTAACGGTTGGACTCGATAATCTTAAAGGTCTTTTTCCAACCTAAACGGTTCTATGATTCTATTCTATAAATCAGAAGAGAACCCTTACAGAAGGGAACACAAGGCTCAATGGTTTTCAGAAGATGCTTTGCTGAGAAAGGCAAAATTTTTTGAAATTGCTTTCAAAAACATACCCATCGTAGGCTCCACTAACAATCCTCTTATTGTCGAACCTGATGCATCGAACCAGTTCTTCATGGCCTTCTAATACTCTTAAACAGGCACCGCATTCAATGTCCCATAGCCTTAAGAGAACAGAGGACAAAGTCTTTGAGTACTTCAGGTTCAGCACTGTCCCTTAGCCTCACATGCAGTGATTTAAGCACACTACTGAATGGTTTTCTGTGGGAGATATCACATAATTTGCTTAAAAAGGCATGAGAACCATGAGATGTTCCTTGAATGCAATTCACAGATAAGTTCGTGTTGCAGCTGCAGTATATAAAATTAACCTAGTCATTCAAAATTACATACAAGTAAAGGCTGGATACATGTTGAGTTATCTTGGGAAACTTTAATACACTTTTTTCTATTCTGCATAAACCAATGATTAGAGGTTCAGAAAGTAATTAAGAAAACCAGTGACCAACGTCTTCCTCATCTCTCCAAGCAGAAGACAAGGTGATAAACTATAGCAATAGATAAGAAGTTTTGTTTACCTTTGACATAAACCTCAGTGTCCCACTTTTTCACAGGGATGTGATATGTTTACTCTCACACTGAGTTAAGTTTCATTCATATGTCATCTGCTCCAATAGCAAGACATACCATGGATGTTTTGAACATGCAGCAGTGCAGGACAGCATCAAAGGTCAGGGAAATCCTATTTTCACATGTGCAAATGTACACTGTTACATACCGATAGCAGCTTGTGGGCACCCACCTAATGGTATTGTCTGAAGATCCACTGACAACTAGTCGATCCCTGTACTGGAGGCATGCAATGCCACGCTTGTGCCCATTTAGAGTACGAACAAACTCGCAAGTACTTGTACTCCAGACCTGTGAAACATGGGATAAATGCCCCTCTGAGAATTATGCCCAAACAAGATTTTTGGATTTCAATAGAAGCCGTTATGAATTCATAAACAGAACAGGTCTGAGGCTGACCTTTGCTGGACAGTGGAATGAAAATGCGCATAGTATTTTTATGGGCAAAGAGTGGGTACATGGCATTAATGGAAGGCTGGCGCCATGGGGACCTAGCAGTGACAAGAACCACGAGCACCGCTATTGCACATCGAGTCAATGAGAAAAGTTGGGGGGTTGCATATAAAATATTTTCAGGTGGTAGAGACTTCCCCAAATGATTTGAAAAACTTGATTACACTTGAATATCTTTGTAAGTTAGTAATCATTTTTAAAAGTGGAAGTTATCACACACAAAAACCCCACATCTTTTTTTTACCACAGAAATTGCTAGCAATCTACTAGTAAGAGAAGGTCAAAACCGTGGCCTAGAGAAGCTTGGTGGCTGCTTCTTTCTTAACATTAAATGATTCAATCAACTTTGCCCATTTTTAATGAACTGTAATTGAAGTTGTAACATAGAGTATCTAGTGGCTCATTTTCCAACACAGAGTGCAGCAGGATCTTTGGCAGATATTTGGACATGAAACTGCCAAGAGCTTTTTGGCACAGTCCAAGGTAGCTCTGGTTCTAGAGAGGGAAGGGTGGAAACGCCTTTGTTATATTAATACACTCTGGGTAACTCAAATCTTCTGGTATGTAATAGTCTTCAAATACAGCCTCTTAATTCTTCAAACATGGCAAAGTCTGGTTGAGCTGCTGGGAAGGCGTGGTGAGGAAAGGCAACTGCTGATAAATTTCACGTCTGGAACAGGACTGCCAATTGAAATAAAAAATACCGCTTGGAAAAAGGCACAAAATGTGCCACATTTAACAAACAAACCGATCTTGAGACGAGTTCAAACAGCAAATGGGCTTTACTTTTTTGCAATTGTATGACAGAAGCCACAAAAATGTTATGAGCCTAGTTATGCACATAAAGACATTAGCAGCTAGCAAGAGGAAGCAGCTCTCAAATGGTAAAGAAAAAGGCGCAGAACTGCCTATGAGCACCTTGGCTATTCAGAATTGAGTAACACTCAGAAGCTTTTCTGGCTTGGTTGGCACACACATTTAGATCAGAGCTCTGCCAACTTACTTTAATGGTCCTGTCACCTGACGCTGACACAATATACTTGTCATCGAAGTCTACCACGTTAACGGCAGCACGATGGCCAACTAAGACACGGCGCAGGGTGATGTCAGTAGGTGATGCCATATCCCAAACAGCAATTGACCTGTCCTTTGAGCATGTCACCATTAAGCCGTTACTGAACCTCAAATGAAGCACTGCCTCGTTGTGATGAATCAACGTGTTCAGAACTTCACCTGTATTTACATCCCAAACTCTGCAAAAAAAAAAGAATTTTATTCCAAATGAAGGATGATGGCTATGATGGATAAAGCGTGAACATGCACATGTCTGCTACTGTTTCTAATGGAGAGCTCTCTGGTTGCTTAACACCTCTTAGGGCTTGGGAAAGGCAGGAAGACAGCAACTAGGGAAGTATCCTAGTTCATGTCTCAGACTCACGAGCAACAATTAACAGCAGCGAACAATTAGGCCAGGAAATGCCTAAGTTGGGACCACTGCTAAGAGAAAGGGCTGCTTAACAATGACCACAATTCTATAACTCTTCCAGGATGACTAAAACCTGTATGATGTATACATTGATGGAACAGACCAAAAAAAATACTATCCAATATGATTTTTTCAGTTTTACACCGTTCATTCAGATTTAGCACATGCCAGTAGCAACTGGGATGTATCACCCTCCAGGGCTACCCACTAGCTTTCATGAAGTGAAAAATCACTACTTAATTTATACTACCTGATGGGTGTTATGATCAGTTCTTAATTTTTTAGAAGTTTTCTAGAGATTGACATTAGTATACCAATGCAAGACACCAGAAGGAGACAAGGCCCTTCCACTGAACTGTATCTGAGCATCTTTGTTGGACATCTACTGATCATTGAATTCATACAGGAATTTAAACTCCGTAACATTAAAATTGCTGTCAGGTAAGTGCTCCATATATACCAAGTACCCTTTCATTAATAGTCATAATTAAGAGATGTCAGAAGGCAGTACAAGAAACCCTAAATTAGGAAATTATTGTATAGTTGGCCATCAGCCATTCTACAACTTCAGGATATGCCTTGAATCATGCAGGTCACATTCCTTCAAAATTCTTAACACTAAAAAAACGAGACTGAGATTTGGAAAAACATTTATTGAATGCGTTGCTTTGCCAAGTGTGAATATCTTGAATGTGATAATATATCACATTCATATGAGGGATGTTTTCTGATATTTGCAGATTATTGTAAATATGCCTAGTGCAAAAACTTAACACTCACCTCACTGTAGAATCTGAAGATCCAGTTACAATGACTCTTTCATCATACTGCAGACAAAGAACTGAGCCAGTATGTCCTGTTAATACTTTCAAACATTCCAAGCTTGTTTTGTCCCAAATCTGTTAAAAATAAGAAATATAAATGGCTTATCAAGAACACGGATCCAAGACTTGAACATTGCCGCAACAGAGAAGGAAGGAAGAAAACTGGAGATAGCAGAAAAAATCCATGGGCAGTTAGCCTGTCCAAACAGTGGGCCTGTTCTCCCTTTTAGCTTCAGGAAGTCTCCTTGATGCAAGTGTTTGACAAGAACAGTGAAATAACCAATGATCACAAAAAGATAAAAGGAAAGGAAATGTTTTGTGAAAGGAAATGCCATGGATGATTAGCATGAAAGCAATCTATTAGCATAAAAGCAAAATACTAGCAATGACAAGAGACACAACTAAGGACAGTGGCAAATGCAGTCTTCATTCATGTTATGTGGACTCTGACTTCACAAGCCTTTCTTTGTAGTCAGCAGTATCCATCTCCTGGCTGGCAGTCCCCAAAGTTTCTAGAGCAAAGTGCAGGTGAGAACTTCGCAGGGTTACAGAAGACATCCCGTCCTCATAAACCCTGCACAGATAAATACTGTCCCATGAAGAGACAAGAGAAATCATCAAGGAGCTACCTTTCCAAGGCAGAATTACCCACTTACCTCTACGGAAAAGACTGAAAAAAGTATTTACCTTAATGGAGTTATCTCGTAGGCCACTGATAATCTTTTCATCATCATACTGTAAACAGTAGACACCTTTGCTGTTTTCAGAGCGGCACTGAATTCTTTGCAAATTATGTCGCCCACATCGCCAGTTAGATTCTATAGTCTAACAAGAGGGGAAACAATCAGGAGCTAGGCGTGAGGCTGCATGCTTGAGCATGACTATTCCAACACATACACAGCAATCTTTCCACTTTTACATATGCCATCCTTAAATCTGAAGTAGATAAAACTTAAATTATCTTTTCTTCCCCCCCCAATAAAAATACACAAAACACAATGAATTAGAAATAGGACTTTTATAATTTGTCATGACAAAAGCTGGTTTTAGTGGTGAAAATCAACTACCCTTAATGAGAATTTCCAAAGGAGCCATTAGAGAGACACATTTCATAACAATTCAGTTCCCCCCTATATTTACATGACCATCTGACATAAGCTGCAAAGATTAAACCAGGAGCTCGTATGGGTGCCGTGTTCAGCCTCACCTGAGTAACTAACATTACAGAACCGCTGCGTCCAACGGGAGGTTATGGGAGTTCTTGGACCTTTCCTTCCCCTACCCAGTCATTTCACCTATTAACTGTTGTTACGCATCTTAGAAAGGGATTTTGACATATGAAAGCCTCCTCTAAGAACCTTAAAATCTGATAAAAATAAAACTGAATAGGGACTGTAAGATTTCAAATAATCCAAACTTACTTTTTTCCACCCTTAAAATCTGTGGAAGTGTAATTCTCAGCATCTTCATTCTGAGAGATATTTTTAAGGAAAGAGACCTGACACACCTTAAAAAGCCACAAACCATTTCATAGCAGAACCAGGATGACTTCCATGTTTTAATCAGCTTTATTACTTGTAAGACAACCAATGTTGGTTTCAAAGAAATGTAAAATTCTGGATAGGAAGTTTGTAACAACAATCATAAGAGAATCCGTGCACAGAACTCCAGGCCAACACCTGCAGTACCTAGACAGGCTGGGATGCTTTCCGTCTTAGAATCATAGCATAGGCACCAGAACAGGCTATTTATTTAGCTATTTCCCTGGGATCCCCCTCCAAATACTGCATGGAAACCTGGGGAGAGGGTGATCGACTATCAGTTTGTTTAGAGAAGCGTATTATAACCAAATCCTAACTTTCAAAGCAATAGCACGCACCTCTGCAGCTCCTCCAAGACTCGAAAACAACTGAAATGCTTATTAAAGACAAAAGTGCAGTGCTACTATGACGTCCCAATTCTAGGAAAACACGTCTGCTCCAAGGGAAAACTCTAGCCTACCACTTTGTTTTCCACACATTTGCTCCTTCAATTGTCTCCCATTATGAAATCTGGAGAGAATTATACACAGTCATAATACAAACCTGATGTGCCCCAGGAATCTGTCTAAATCATAAGTACTAAGAGATGCTTCTAGAGGAGCATGCTGACAAGTTATTCATCTCCTCTCATTCTCTTCCAATTTGGTGGGGAAGTTAATGAAATTAAGATAGCAAGTCATCTGTCAGTTTGGGATCAGCTTTTCTGGCCAGCTAGCGCGCTGCTGATTGTCAGACTGGGAACTGGGCTTAAAACGTTCAAATTGACACTGCGCTGGTTCAGCCTTGGACTCCTGCCTTGAAGGTAGCAGACTCGCTCAGCATGGGATGGAGGTTTTGAGGAGGAAGGACAGGCAATTCTCAAGCTTTATCTGAAGATTTATCATCTGGGCTAGGAGGGCAGAACTGCAACACATTAACTCCTTTGCTGCTACAGAGGTGACTCTCGGAAACAGGAGAGGATTTTAGACATTAACAGCACAAACCAATGTAATTACAGATCTGAAGGCAAGATATTTAAAAATGCAATACTAACACAGGACATAGGAGAGACACAGGAGAGAAAACATGACAATTAGAGTTACCCAATTTAAATAGTTTTAGAAACCATGTATGTTCAGACATTCAACTCTAAGAAGTCTAAGGGAGAGTTTCATTCTTGGAAAGGTCTGAAATAAGCAGCTGCACATAACACACACCGGATTACTCTAGCTGCCGAGTGCTCAAACATCATTCGAGCACTTTCACACTTCAGCTTCCTGCGACAGCGATTACCAATAGCTACAGAATACATTAAGAACACCACAAATGAGAAATTTTGCTTGTAACAGTTTCCTAAACAAAACAGCAGTCAGTAAAAGTATGCTCACCAGACATTCAGGACACTAGCTGGCTTAATTCTCAGAAGTTCACTATAGGAAGCTACTTAATAAGCTCCCTGTGAGAAAATGTTGGCTTCAAATAAAAGAAGCTGAAGTATTATTTATATCTATGTGAAGGCAGGATAAAGCAGTAAGTCATATGCAGGTGCACATTTTAATTCTGTGAATAGATGTCATTTCACTTAGACATTATACGGTGTGGCTACTGTGGGAAAATACTTCATGTTTTTCGAGAACTTGTAAAATCCCCTTACACTGCGTAAATTTTCAATATGCTGGGAAAGTAGCCACAATACACAGAGAATATACAGCAGCATTTCAATTGGCAATAGAGTGAAAACAGATGTGTACGTATAGAGAAATAACATTATTTTAGATGACTAAATACGGCTGAGTGGGTGGGCAACCTGGAGGACCCTCTGAAAAAGAACCTATTTAATACAATATTGGCAACCACATTAAAGCTTCTTGCTATAGGAAATTTCTGGTTGTTACTGAATAGTGCAGTTAGTAAAAGTCTTCATCTGCAACCTCCTTCCAGGAGATATCTTAATAAACTCTGTACACGCCGAGTAGGTAGGTAGGCCTGCACGTACAAGGGGCGAGGGAGAAACTGCTATGTTTTACGGACTGTTACAAGCATCAGGGAGTCAATGCTGAAGAGACCCATGGTTTATTTCCATATTTATGGTACCAAACCTAATACTAACATACGCAACACCCACCACTGTATTTTCTACAGATCCCCCTCAAAGACTCCCAAGACAACTGCCTCTAAACTTGGTTTTCACAATTAAAAGCAAGATGTTGCAGAACACTATCTCCTTAGTTCACACATGTAAAAAAAAGGTTTCTCACACTTTTCTAAAAGCTCACTAGAGCAATAGCAGCAAGTAGCTGACAAATGCTGTATAACCAACAAAATCTGGACATAAAAGGGATAAAGACCAAGCACGAAGCCAAAGCATCTGCCACAGCAGGAGAGCCATTTGGCAGCTGAAGAAATGCATAAATGGATAAAAAAGGCATTTAGAGAGAAAAGTACACATAGAAAATAGCCCAAGATGCAGAGGTATAGCCAAGCTTGACCATGCCAGAATATATTCTCTGGTACAAAGATGCACAGTAAAAAAAGATGCAATTAATCTGGATTAACAGTTGGAACATTTACTATACATTGGAAGTGTTAAGGATAATCTACTAGGAAAAGGGTTTTTTCCCGTTTGATAATGTACACTGTGTTCAGCTCCTTGGCTAAAAATTGCATTTTTATCCTTGTGAATGTTATTGCAGAGTAAGTGGGTTTATCTTAATCCCATAAACCAAGGAGTTTCTGTTCCCTCCGAATACACAATTCTCCTGCAGGACAAATGGGGCAGAAAAAAGAAAAAGGAACCTAGACATCTGTTACTTATGTAGGGATTTCTCCTGAAGCATTAGGCATTTACGCCAGGGGCAGTTAAAATCCAAACCCTTGTTATTCACATGCTTTCTTCTAAGAGAAGAAAGAAAATCCTTCCTGACTCTGGCAGAGGACAGGCAAAAGCAAATGAACTTATGTCATCGGGGTGGAAAGGGCTTAATATTTCATTCATTATGAAGTTAAGAGGGTTTGATAAGCAAAGACAAAATGACAGCTTGGCCATGGTACCAGGCTCCCTGCATCTCTAAGGTCTTTCCTCTCTCAGATTCTCTGAGGATGCTACAATCATTAGGGGGGCAAAAAAAGCATCAAGCTCTTGAAGGATACTGATCCCCTAGATCCTGGCTTGAGTCTGGAATTCACTGTTGGGTTAGACAGTGAGGGCCAAAGAGCTTTTGTAGTCTCTATATCAGCCTGAAGAAGAAAGACTACGTGATACTTATTACCTAGAAGGCTTGAACTGGTCCTCAAGAAGAATCTGCAGAGAACTAGCTGTCCTGTCATTACCACAACAGCACAAACCACAAGATTTCTGACCACACAGGGATGACTGCCTCACAGCAACAGATGACAAAATGTGCCAGCAGCAAAGCCTCCTTCCAAAGCACCCCGTGGAGGGATAAAAACCCTGCAAGTAAAGAGCATCACCATCTTTCTTGTGAGTGTCATCACCTCTAAAACCCACTATTAAGGAGTTAAGTGCTGGTGGTAGGCATGTAGCAGCAAAGATAGCTAGAAATTCAAAGACCACAAGAACTGGATCAGCACTGGGGCGGGTACTGTACATGAACAGCAATGAAATCTCTGTGCCAAAACAGCATGGCAGAAAAAGTACTTGCAATGCATCCAACATCCCCTTCATAAAACACCTCCTCCTCAGACCAGCTGCATAGTGGAAGTGATGAATGAGAAAATAATGTGGTCAGTAAGCTCTACAGAGCTTACATCTCAACGGAGTAGCTGAAGAGTTTTGGCTGAAGGCATGGTGCACCTAATTACACATTCACTAAGACGTGAGCATATTGTCACCTGAGCCAGTAAACATGTCCTGGGAAGAAAGCAGCAGGGTATACAGATGTCCATACCAACATCTTGAACATAAATTGGCACTGCTGTTAGAAGAGAGAACACCAAGTGCTGCAAACCATCCACCACCACACCTTGCCATTTATTATCCTACATTTACCATTAAGCATATTGCCTTCCCCTATTAATTCTCTTACCCCAGTCAATGAAAAAGCTGAACCAACATGATTCATGCTACACTACAGGACTCAGAAGAGTGCTTAGATTTGGATTTTACTCTCAAGATGCTTTGAAACGTAGAAGGCAGCAGCTATACAACTGAGAGCTGCATGACACTGTGTCCCTCATATGAGAGCTCTTTAGTGTTTAAGGTAAAATTTATACAGTACTGATCTGAAAACGTAGGCACTACTGCTTGTCAAAAGAATTTGCGCTTTCCACTACCAAGAATTCTTC